AGTAGAGTGTATATAATTTGTTTTTTTTGTTGTAGATGCAATTCGTGGGAGCATTTTGTATGGTCCTATGATTCTATTGATTATGCAGCAAAACTTCCTGCGTGGCTGGGTGTAGTTCAGGACATTCGAGATGTGACATTGCACAAAAAGAACGCTCCTAGCAAGTTGACTCAATATGGCACCTTGGAGTCAAAGAATTTAGTTCATGGCAGCCCACGCTGTTTACCATCTATTTGACAGCTTTATCATGAAAAATTCAATCTCTAGACTGATTTTTTTCACTCCGCTCTGGAGATCAATGTCTGGTCACGTTTATTCAGTCCGGGTTCCTCGGAACTTGAAACCGGAGAGAGCAGTCTATCGATCGCGATTTTTTTGAGATAAGCTCGTGAAGAGAATGGGTAAACGTCATGAGACGCAGGTTACCATGACCTAATTTATTCGACTTAACGCGCTATGTCGGGTCAACCAGCTGAGAATGTCAGCTATTTGCCCGGTCGTGCCGTAACTCATACGGCTTTGTTCGGTGTGGATGAAGGGGCGTGTCAGTGAGGCTGGGTCTAGTGCGCCCGTTCTACACTAGTTGTTGAAGCGGGTAAGCGATAGCAACTGGTGCAAATGACTAATACGAAAACGATACACTCTTGTCGCTTGTCGAAGGAAGTCGCAGTAGGTTCAAGAGAAACAGAAAAACACGTACCTCACTTCCGAAGACGGTCCTTTGTATGCGCGAGTTAAGAGGGCGCGGTAGAATACCACTAAACTATACCGTACAAAAAACTACACCATACTACATCCATTCTATGCTTTAGCAGTTGTGCGGTGCGGTTGCAAGAGCCGCAATTTCACGACGCCTAATCCAGCTGTTTGCTACCCTCCTACTTCCCCATACTCTCTACTCCCGGTCGCTGGTGAACGCTGGTGGACGGCTGTAGACGCTAGATCGATACATATACTTCCCCAGACCTCGAGACGCTGGTAGACGCTGGATCGAAATCTGTAATTTCCTAGTCGCTGACGCTGCCGGAACGCTAAAGGACGCTGGTAGACGCCGGTGAACGCTGCCGCAAAGTATGAACTCAGCTATAACGAGCAGACAGGTAGTGCGATTTGCCATGGCAGGGCGTATGGGTAATCGCCCTGCCATGGCAAATCAGTCAAGGTGTTTGTTGGAAACAGCAAAAGACAAGAAAAGTCCAGAAGCAGAAGTTATGAAACGAGATTTGAAAGTCTATGTCCGCGCCAACAAGTAGGCGTGGCCGTCGGGGCGGGCACACAGTTTTGTCTGGCGCTGAGGGTGAGTTGCATGAATATTTCTGCCTAAACAGTTGTGTGAATTTGCATTTGTTACGTGGCGGTGAATTGTGGTTTGGAAAATGTTGTGCATTTTGATTTGGAAGTGGTGAATTAAGTGAAAATGCGTTCTGATATGGAGGTATATATGTATACATGTGTTTTCATATGTAAATGTATGTAAACATATTTTAACACATGTAAAGATGTAAACATATGTAAACACATATTCACATATGTAAACATATGTTAGCATATGTTTACATCTTTACATATGTAAGAGATGTAAACATATGCTAACATATGTTTACATGTGTAACATTTGTTTACACATGTAAACATGTAAACATATGTAAACATATGTAAACATATGTTAACATATGTAAACATGTAAACACATGTTTACATGTATAAACATATGTAAAGACATGTTTACATATGTAAACATGTGTAACACATGTTTACACAGCGGTGAACGCGGCGATCGCTGTGTTCGCCGCTGCTGTCGAGAAGTATGAACGCTGTCCTTGAACGTCTTGCCTGTGTTGGCTCAGAGGCAAGCACTGATATGCGCTCACTCTAGCCGCCGAGTGCGAAACATTCAATTCGTGCGTAATCCGAATCGACGCCTTTTACTTCTGTAACTAGGAGCTGCGAAAGTCTACATTTCACGTGCATGTCAGTGGGCTTAACTTCAAGAACATCGCGCAGAACTTCTTCGCTGAGTCAGCCGGGCAACCATTGCTGACTCTTCCCTCAAGATATCGCCTACAATAAACAGTAGGAACCATGGTTCACGGTCTAACGGGTATTAGACACCTCTTGAATACAGCACAGTGGCATCGGATGGCTTGTGGGCTTGCGAGAATTCGTAGTACACAATGGTGGCTCGAAGTTGACTTTGGTCTGTTTAAGTTCTTGATAGTTACCAGTGAAGTGCGCGCGCGTATGTGCCCTTATGCTGAAAGTTATTGAAACACTGTACTATATTATGTTGCCATAAAATTTTATTTCAAGTATCATGAAATTCTGGATGGAAAAATGGATTCTGGCGCCTTTTGGGACAAGGTAGAAGGTGAGCAGCAGGGGACTCTTTTCTGGAAAGTCAGTTCTTCAAAGTTCGCCCAACACTGGACTGTATCCCTCACAAATGGGTTCATCCAATTTTCCTAATCAAGATAGAATTCCAGTTAATACACATGGTAGATGGCTTCATTTAGCAGAGTGAATGATATCCTTCTTTACTACCTTTTTTAGACAAATAAACGGTGGATTACATAGCTAGAAGTTCATATACTAACGATTAAACCAAACCAACTCCCATCTACAGTCCTGCGAGCTGCACTGGGGCGTATCAAGAGGGCTGGGTTTGACGAGCCGACAGCTTGTTTTCCACCATTCGGTGATGTTTGCTCATTTCTACCATTGGATGGCCATGGGCTGGCGTCGCGACAAGTTCCCGAGCACATCATTATTTGGGGATTTTGGTCGGGTCCGACCGACCCCTCTCCTTCCCCATCTTCCCATCTTACCTACCACTCTCTTAGATTTTTCTCAACTTCTTACCAGTTTTTCCGGAACTTTTCCGGATGATTTCCTAGTTTTTCACAAAAATCTTGGTGCCGATCGGGGGAGGAGTGAGGTAACTGTTAACCGCCACATTCTCGACAGACCACTTCCCCCCCGCCGCCTCCCCGACCCCCCTCCCAGCTCAGTTGTTCCCTCTGAGACGACCCCCGCCTCGTCCTTCCAAGAAATAGAGGATGTCTCATAGGCTTATTTCACGTGAGTCGTTTTGTTAACTTTTGTGACATAATACAATTACTTGAAATGACATTCAATGTCACGCATCCTTATCACAGGATATGTGATGCGAATATAAATCACAGCTATACTTAACGGGTGGCAATCGATGGCAACAGCTATTGAGCTCTCAACATACAATCATTCGCCCTAATTCTTTTGCGCCAGTCCTTCAGTTCAAAACTGTTAAAGCTCAATAGGCAATGATCTCCCCAGAAAAAAACTAGGTATATAGTTTACGGTAAGGCCGTCCGCTATGGCAGTTGCACGCGGTCTAGGTGATGAAAATAAACACCTACTGGACTATCGTTTTCAATATTTACATACCAGTTCACGGGCATTGAGCTTTTTTGAATTCGCGTCTGCGTCCTGACTGCGTCCTCTAAACTGGAGTTGGAGCCAGTTCATCCATACACTCTTAAGTGAAAAAAGTTTTTAGTGAAACCATATTTTATTAAAAGAAGACGATCGGGAAAAAGGAAAACGCAGTTGTGAAGAAAAAGATTTTGAGCTTTCTGGAATGTTACTTTCTGGAATGTGAAGGTTACTGGAATGTTCATAAAGGTTGTCTATTTAAAGAGATATCGGGGATTAGCTGGTGATTTTCACAATTGGATGTAAGCTCTCCTGGTTAAAACGGAGTTAATTTTCTTCCAGCTCAACCGTTTGCAAACATAAGAGCAGTTTTGTAACTTTGAATATCTCCTCTTTCGAAAAACCCCTTAAACTGTTTCTGAAATTTTTTGGGATTCATGAGATAAACGCGTTGGCGATTCCATAAGGAAAACTCCGAGCTGCGCGAAAAACCCGTTTTCTGTGTACCGTTTCAAGTGGGCGTATTTGAATACCCAAGAATGCATGTAGAACGAATCCTTTCGTGGAATAAGAGTAGGCAATTGTTGGTTCAGCGCCTTAGCTTCATTTCTGGATGCGCATGCATTAGACCACGCAGAGGTAGTGAGATGTCGCAACTTCTACGTAATGCGTGCTTGCGAGCAGAAGTATTCATAGGATTTGGGAGGGTCCATGGCCTACCTCCGCACTTGTATACAGTCTTTTTTGTTGCGGATGATGGGGCATGTTTGCTCCACCATCCGCGTTTGGCGCAATTGGTGAAGAACGGATATGGCGGCACGCCGCCAAATCCGAACAGTATGAACACACCCTTACACTTTCCTTGCATGATCAGTTCTCATCAAGATGTCCTACAGTCAATCGGCCAAATTTGCTTCATGTATGTCCACTCTACTGAACTTTATTTGAAACGATGCGGGAAGTATCAACTCTGTGAAAGGTGGACTGAAAGCCAAGAATGCAAATAGGAATCCCAAGAATTTTTTTCATGTTCTCAATGTTCTACAACTAGAAACTGGTAAAACATCAAAAGATGAACAATATCAGCAAATAGAGTAAAAAAAATCTGATTTGACAATGATAACAAATAAACAATAAAATAGAAAATGACAACGTGGAAACAAAACGATCAAAAAACAGCATTAGACTTGGCTTAGGACTCGAACACTGGGATACCAGGCATGTTCTTCAATATATCGCAAAGGAAAAATATCAACTTCATATTTTTCAACTACTACTTACCAATTCTCCAATTGTCCAACTATTTATTTTTTTCTCTGAAATCGATAAAAATTTGCGGCGCTATTCAACTATTACTGATCCAGTTTTGCGAAAACAGGCCGGATCTTGATCGACTTTTTTCTACGGGGGCGGATTTGGCTGAAAGTTGGGTTCTAGGGGTAATTCGACCTCCTGAACACGAATATCACAACCCACTTCGAATGAAATTGCCTGGCTGCCTGCGCCAAGGTACCTGGAACAAAAAAACCGCTGAAAACTTGTAGCACGCGAGGGTATTTGACATCTTGATTACAAATATACATTTATTTTCGGTCAGGTCAAGATGGAAGACGCTGCGATCTTCTGCGCTCTGCTAAGGCTGAGCTCAGCCTTAAAAAGC